TTGTAAGCTTACAGTTAAAGTGTTTTGAGACTAGTTTTCATGTAAATGATTTATGGGAATTGCCCTTGGTCTAATTCCATGAAAGGTGCACCCCTCATCTTTGTCTAATGTATTTAAGAAAATTAATTTTTTTGATGTTAGTTCTAATACTCAAATCTTAAATTTTATCTATAAAATAACATTTATTTTCCACTATATCCAAATTTAAGTTAATTATATATTTATTCTTAGTGATTAGTTAGAATATTTTCCTTTCTATTTATATTCTTTTTCTGTGCTTTTCAAAATTAGTATTTAACATATCTCTTTTTATTCTAAAAACTCAATAAACTCGTAACTCTAAGGGTTGGATCTAGGAACAGCGCTGCCATGGGATAATGGGGGAGTTCCCCCCTAAGCTTTTGAAAAATGTCTAATAAGGTACATCAATTTTGTTTATTACAAAATTTGTTTTTGATATTTGAATTATAGGAACTATTTTAAATCTAAAAAAAATAACTAAGACCTAGGTAAAGTGAGAGTTTCGTTCTTTATAATCAATTCTTAAGAAAGATAATTATATTTGGGTAAGAAAAAACATTTAAATATAGTTAAGATCCAGTTACATTAATATAACTTATATATAATTTTATACTAGTAGTAATTTTTTGTATAATTTATACTATAATTTAGGTTATATCAAACTAATAGTTAAATTTGATATCTATTCATGCATATCATACATTTTTAATTTGTAATTTATTTGATGTCTATAATTACATAAAAAAACTATATTTTATATAAAATTAATTAGTGTTTATACGCTAGACTTACAAAAATAAAAAATAAAAAAACTAGGTGAAATATCACTTCACAATTATGACAATTTAATAAAGCAATATGAAAAAAGAAAAAAGAAAAAAGAATGAAATAGTCCTTCATTTTTCCTAAAAATATGTTATTTTAGTCTTTTATTTTTTTTTATTATAACTTATTGAAATAACATAGTTCTATACTACTTTTTTGCTAAATTTATGCAATTCCAACTAATAAATATTTTTTATTATTTTATACTATTTATTTAAGGATATTAAACTATATTTTTAAAAAATAATTAAATATATCTAATTAATTTAAAATTTGACATGTGTAATATAAGTGGTATATTGACATAGAAAATTAGTTATTAATATTAAAATTTGCAAAAGTTATGCTATTGTGAACTAATCATAATCCAGAGAAATTTTAAACTTTTGCCACAAATCTAAAAGTCTAGTTTATCCCTAATTGAATCCAGTAGTAAGCGAGTGGGCCCCGTAAACCAAGTTCTAAGACTTAAGTCTTTTGGTTAGTACCTGAGAAAATTAATTTTTTTTAATGTACTAGATTAATAAGAAAGTACACTCTTAAGATCATCAAATGAGGAATTTGTTTTAAAATGTATAAAAATTAATTAGTCCAAAAACACCTTGTACAAAAAAGAATAAACTCACGGAGCAGGTGCAATGTGCATTTTTTTTGGGACGGTAAGCATGCTCTTGAGTCAATTTTTATTATCTTAAGATTTTTTTTAGTAATTTTAAAACCACACCTCTTGCATCATTTAATGCATTTAAAAAGATTAATTTTTTAAAAAACTAATACTAAATTTTAAAATTTAAATTTTATTTATAAAATAATATTTATTTATTAATAAATCAAAGTTGGCTAATAAATCATTATTCCAAATTAAAATATCGACCACTCACTGCACTTAGTGAGAGCGAATGAAACAGATGGACCTCTGAACTCTCGCTAGCAACAACTCGCCTTCAAAGTTGCCCCACGCTTGATCCACCGACGGTTCAATTCTATCTATCCCTTGCTTTCTCTTCTTCAGTTGACTTCGATTGAGTATTCTTCAGTGGCAAAGAGCAAATCAGCCCCTGTACTCTAGGTTTGGTAGAAAATCAGCCCCTCAACTAAAAATGGTGGCTTATGAACCCTCAAACTCCTCGAATGGTGAAAAATCAGCCCTTGGTAACGGCTGATGTCAGCAATTTGGTTAATATTAACGGAGCACGCGTTGCGAATGATTCCTTACCTCGACGCCATGTAGTCCCTTGCAGTCTGACATGGCCTTCCATGTCATCAAACCATGATTATAGGTAATAAATCTCATTATAATTTCAATTAATT